CCGCATCAGATTTGGCAGTTCTCATTTTAGCTATGGCTCTGTTTTTTTGTGAATCAATCTTTTAATCTCATCAGAGAGCCAGGGAGCAGGTAAATGTTTAAGTTTAACACGTCTCAATGGGGCGTGCTTATCATAGAGGTTTGTGATGGAAGAAGTGAACAACTCAACTTTGTCGTCGAGGTTAGCTAAGTCGTACAGACCACTCCAGTCAATTTTGGATGCATCACTGAGTAGGCTATCATGGTCGATTCCACCAAAGCTGCGACGCATAACTACCGTGGGCTTCTGCTTGGGTGGCTTCGCTTTAAAGGAGAGATAGAGAAGGTCATGGTGAGAGAAGGCGACAGCAGGAAGTTGCCCATGCTTAGTGACAAGGTGAGGAGAGGAAACAAAAATAAGATCCAATAGTGACGGAGTAAATCCGGGGACTTTATGCGTAGCGTTAAGATATAAGTTTTGTAGGTTGTAAGAGTGAGTTAAAGAAAGGAGCCGTCTGGAGCGAGAATCATTTTTCAGCAGACATGTGTTAAAGTCACCCATGACTATTGTGTTTTTATATAAGGGAGAAAATTGGTCAATGGTGTCTTCAAAGGAATCAAAGTAGTCCACCGATGATGAAGGGGAATAGAAGACTCCCAGGAGAAGCTTAGAGTTGGATAGAAGAACTTCGATAAGGAGATGCTCGGCTGCATTGCTAGGTGGAGGCTGTGGCGATGAGCTAATGATGGAGAAGGGGATGTGAGAACGTAAGTAAATTGCCACACCACCTCCACGCATGCCGAGTCGGTCATTTCTAATTAAATTGTAACCAGGAAGAGAGTAAGTACCAGAGGAAAGGGAAGGATTGAACCAAGTTTCAGAAATAAGTATGGCATGGATGTCTTTAGAGGCCAACGTAAGGAGATCTGTGTGATGAGCTGGAACGCTCTGGGCGTTAATGTGTACAACATTGAAGTGCTTAGGCAAGTTTTGAAAAATAGAGGATAAGGTATCATTTAGGGTAGGCGTGGAGGAGTCAATGCTATGGAAGGAGTCACAATCGGACGATTCCAGAGATAAGAAATCAGAGTTACCACTACTGCAATCCATGATTAACAAAAGTATGATATAGTACGAGATCCCGCTGCAGGATTGGTGCGCTCATCGACTATTTGTTTAAAACCAAATTTTTATGTTTATTTATAATTAAGAGAATATATATTTACTAGGGTGCCTATCAAAATTTGGCCGCCATTATTTTTAATTAAATTATTTTTAATTGATTTTTGGTAAAAAATTGCGTTCATTTATTATTTAAATAAAATAACGTCTACATCACGGTAATTAATATGAAGATTCTAAAAAATCACGGGTGCCGTTGCGCACATGGCCGCACCTCTTTGCAGCCAGGTGTAAACAGGTATGATTTCGATAAATTTATACGTTTATAACCTATTTTTTTAAATTATATGTCAAATTGAAGCAAATTTTTTTCTATTAATTATCATATAAAGTTGCTTAATTAAATCTGGCCGCAAATAAGGGCTACTGGCTGTTAAAGATAATAAATATTTAAGGTAGAGTGAAAGAGAGTTAGCGCGTAACATCATTTGTCAGACGAGGACAGCGATTGTCGGCTGTGCGACGCTTTTAAGCCATTGCGCATGCGTCGAACGTTAGTGTTCTCAACCACCGGGGAGTAATAGAGACGACTTATAATAAATACTCCAAAAAATATGTATTTTTTTTCAAAATGACAAATTTAAAAATTGCAACAAATTCAGCCCAGAATGGCTGGCTGGTACTAGATGGTTTTTTAAAACCAGCATGGTTCCTGGGAGACTCATCTCCAACGCAAGTTAATAGTGTGCTATGTGAATCCATGAACAAAGCTACCGATAACGACGATTCTGATATTTGTAGCGATGAAAGTGATAGCTCCGATGATAGTACAACAGAAAGCTCCGATGATTCAGATTTTTAAATAAGAGTTACGGAAATATAAGAGTTATAAGATTAATTTTTTTAATTTTTTAATTTTTAATTATTATTATATTATATTATTAATTATTTAAATTTTAATTTTTTTAATTGCTTAAATGTTTAATTAATATGTAATAGACAATCAATTACTTGAATAAAATCTAATAAAATTTTTAAATAATACTTTCGCAATAAAATTTTCTTTTACTTAAGTCACCTTGGTTTTATTTTTTAAATTAATATTAAATATCGACGTTCTAATTAGCAAATTATCTAACTCCATTTTAGAGAATCTTTTATTTGTACGAAAAAAACAATGACTTCAAAATTTATTATCATTTTAAAAAACCATTTAATATCATTAATATCTAATAGAGATATAATTTTTAAGTTTGAATCATTCAAATAATTTGTAATTGGATTATGTCTTCATCAAAGTGTTAAAAAAATCACCCTGTAAAAAATAAGGAGTTAGACAAATTGCTAACTAGACCGTCGATATATCAAATCAATATTAATTTTTTGTTGCAATTTTTAAATTTGTCATTTTGAAAAAAAATACATATTTTTTGGAGTATTTATTATAAGTCGTCTCTATTACTCCCCGGTGGTTGAGAACACTAACGTTCGACGCATGCGCAATGGCTTAAAAGCGTCGCACAGCCGACAATCGCTGTCATCGTCTGACAAATGATGTTACGCGCTAACTCTCTTTCACTCTACCTTAAATATTTATTATCTTTAACAGCCAGTAGCCCTTATTTGCGGCCAGATTTAATTAAGCAACTTTATATGATAATTAATAGAAAAAAATTTGCTTCAATTTGACATATAATTAATAAAAATAGGTTATAAACGTATAAATTTATCGAAATCATACCTGTTTACACCTGGCTGCAAAGAGGTGCGGCCATGTGCGCAACGGCACCCGTGATTTTTTAGAATCTTCATATTAATTACCGTGATGTAGACGTTATTTTATTTAAATAATAAATGAACGCAATCCTTTACCAAAAATCAATTAAAAATAATTTAATTAAAAATAATGGCGGCCAAATTTTGATAGGCACCCTAGTAAATATATATTCTCTTTATTATAAATAAACATAAAAATTTGGTTTTAAACAAATAGTCGATGAGCGCACCAATCCTGCAGCGGGATCTTAGACCAATAATAAAAAAATAAAAACTAAAACTAATCTAAAAGTTAAATAAAATCTACACCAAGTATATAAGCGCTTAAACTTTAAAAATACAAAAAAAATAATAAGAAATAAAAAAGATGTTCTTACGATCGCACTCAACCGCTGATATGTAAGGATTAAAGCAAAAGCTTATTATACGAGACTAATTTTATGTTCTGTGGAAATACTATGTGTATCAATTCTCAATTGACACTTGACAATAACAACCTTTGACAGTGTCAGCCGTCTCATCACGTTAGAAAGTTAGTAGTTATAATCTGTCAATGGGCTTTAATAACAAATAACAATTAGAAATTAATATCATCATAATAACAATTTGTAAACGAAGGAGAAGGTTATAAGATACCAAATAAGTAATTAAAAAAAGAACTGTTTAACACTTGAAACTCATGACAACAAACCAAGAAAAAGTTGATTATAACCCCAACACACGAAACACCAACACCGTACAAACGGAAGTTATTGACCCTTTTTTGGAGCCTTCTTATTACGGGTCTTGTCTCTAGTCAGCTTTGCATCATCAGCTGCGGTCGATGACGGTATGCTGTCCGGAACTGAATCGAGTTCCTTCAGCGAGGAGATGCGGCGAAGTTTCCCATCAGCCCCTATCACTTGTACACGTCCATCGCGAGTCCAACAATTCGAGACGCCAAACCGCTTTCTTGCCTCCATAAATAGCGAGTGCCTTGATTTTGTCAGGAACTCAGACAAGGTTATTCCGGTGCCTTTAAGATTAGTTTTGGCAGCCCAGATCCTTAACTTGTCAGCATGCTCACGAAACTTTATTAATATAGGCCTAGGCTTGTCATTGCATCTTAATCCCACACGATGGCAACGGGAGAGGCACTGCTCCGTCACATTAGGACACTTTAACAGTATGGATATCATATTTGCAATGGAGCCCTGGCTTTCATCCTTTGCTTCATTTACTCCATGCAGCAACAGACACTTTCGCCTACTGCGCATCTCCTGTTCATCCTGCACTCTAAATAGAATCGCCATCTGAGCTTGGAGATTCTCTAGGCAGAATAAAACAGAATTTTTGAAAGCTTCGAATTCCCTAGCAAGCGGAGTTTGTTCCAGTGAGGGGGACCTATTCTGAGTTGCAATAAGGCGCTGCTGAAACTCTTCCATTCTGGTAGACACCATTTCGGATACATCCCTTAATGACTTTTTAAGATCCTCCATAATAAGGTGAATGTGAAAAATAAATACAAGTTAAATTGAAGGTACTTGAAGAAGTGATTTCCAACTTTAAGTTTATTATAGTTAAATAAAGGATATTATTGAGAAAAAATAGCGATTGATGTGTGGTGGGACACTAGTTCATCACTAAAACTGTAAGTTTTAATGTTTTTACCGAAATACTATTTAATTTAAGAAAAAATTCACGAGACACACCAGTACACGTTTGCACTACCCACTTTATCCACTTTATTATAATCAACGTGATTTTCTAATTAAAAGAAGACAGTTTTATTTTTTTTATTTGTACTTCGTTACATTAAAATAAAAACAAATAACATAAATTATAAGGGATGCAACGGGCAGCCTTAACGCTAACAAGGCAACCCTAGTAAGGAACAAGCTAAAAAAATATTAAGTGCTTGCACTTCTTAAAGTGCAAAACCAAATTTACAAAAATACAATTACAAGTAATTTACATTAAATTAAACTAACAATATTTTATAGAATAGAAAAATTATATACAAATAAATAATTCTTGCCGCCGTTTCATTGATTTAGGTCAAAACCGAAACTAGTATTTCGCCGGGCGTCAAATTTTAGCCCCCAATATTTATGGATTACCATATATACCACTGAGCCATAGATATGAGACATATGTTAAGGTTCGTGGTACATAAATTATGATGTAGTAACTACGATGTTATAACAGTAAAAGTATAAAATCAAAAGAATTCGCTGTCACACCCACTATAAAAAACATAATCTATATCTATAAAATAAATGAGGAACTTTCAAATCAGATAAGTTGAAGCTCAGTGTGTGCCCATGTTGATTGTGTATTGAAAAATGTATGTTTTATCTTTAAAAATTAGATAATAGATAAGGAATCGACATTGGACTGATTCAAAAACAGGTCCAGTTGACGAAATGAAAGTTTTGGGAGAATACAATATTAACTTATTATAAAGTATTTTTATTTTATATATATTTTTAATTATTACTTTAGAATTTTTGTTTACCATAATTTTCATATGTCGTAGAGGTTGTAGGTTCGATACCATGTGGTGCACCAATGGACATTCTTTCCATGTGCGTATTTAACATTCGCTTGAACGATGAAGGAAACCGGCTTGCCTTTGATCCAAAAATTCGCCGACGTGTGTCAGGCACAGGAGGCTGATCACCTACTTGCCTATTAGATTGACAAATGATCATGAAACAGATTCAGATATCTGAGGCCCAGACCTAAATAGTTTGTAGCGCCACTAATTTTTATTTTTATTTTTCATTGATTACTTAATAATGCCAAATTTATTTTCTAAATGTAAACCGAGTTTCCTATTTGAAATAGAGAGTTGTTTATTTAGTTTGTTATTATAAGATTTTCTACAAACGTAAATATAGTTAACAAGGTAGTGACATTTTTACTGCGCCGCGCCTTAGCTGTGGGTGGTCAACTCGTGCGCATCTAACTTCCGAACTTATCTCCCATATAAATACTGATGACGATTTGATAAGCATTCTCTGAGAGAGATTTAGATTGAGAAAACAATATTAATCTTTTAGTATCTAGTTTAGTTGTAAAGAAATGTTTAAAACGGTAATGTCAAATTAATGTTTGTAATAAGTCAATTGTCATATATTAAAATGCGTGTCAAAATTATTACGTATACAAAAATTGTTACACTTTTGTCTTGACACACAATTTACATTTACATAATAATTATTGATGTACAATATACATTTTGTATGCGTAGGAGTTCAATGCGTGTGACATATTGTTTTCATCGTCCATTTGATGTCTCTAATAACTTTGAAATAGATATGTTTAATTTTACCTTTTTATTTATTAACTTGCTGCGGCAACCACGTGATGGAAAAAGAAAACGAGAAAGACCGAGCAAGAGATGGGCAGACGATATAAAGATAATAGGAGGCACAACTTGGACAAGAAGAGCTAATATCAGAAAAGAATGGAAACAGCTGGAAGAGGCCTACGTGTCACAGGACACGCTGACTACCTAAAACGGGTCAAGTGACGTATTAGATTAAGTTTTATTTATGTAACTTAAATAATTGTTATGACATTGTACTGGGTGTCAGCAATAAAGGCTAATGAATGAATTTATTAACTTTGTTTTTTGTCTCCAGGCATAAAAGAAAAGTGACCAACCTCCTTCCATCGAAGTTTACAGCGCCGAGCCAAAGTTCCGGATCGCAGAGAAGAGCACCGCCCCCTGCTCCTTTATACGAAGACCTGCAAGACCTGCCTAGAAGACCGCCTTTGCCACAGAGACCCGAAATCGAACCACAATTAGAGGTATGTTCAGATTAGTAGTAGAATTAGTTTGTTAAAAATATGTCTTTTTAAACCTGAAAAAAATGTCTACGACGAGTTGCGTGATTAATTTAATAATTAATATTTTCTAGTGGAATCAAAAAATTCTAAGTATTTTAATGCCTTTAAATGACACTGAATGTGTAAGCACGATCTGTAAGACTTCAAAAGTTAAGTTATTGATTTTTAATAATTTGCAGATGGTGGAGACAAAGAGGCCCAATTGTCAAGGAAGAGTGTTCGTTTGTGGTACGGGCGGTTCTTGGCGAAGTGGGAACCCGTGCAGCAATAATTGCAACGCACCAGTTTATGAAGAACTCCCTCACAGATCAGATGACTCAGTTCACAGTGATGATCATTTTGCTGAAGACGAACTAAGTCTAGTTGGTGATGTTCTTCCTTGCCGGACCTGCGCTAGACCACCACAATCTCTCCCCCATCGACCTCGACAGCAACGTCTTGATCGCCGACCAAAATCGCTGGAAAGACGACGAGCACATCGAATGCCGAGACATGTCCATCCACCGGATCCCTCGGAATTCCACGAAGGAGTTTTACTAGATGCCTTGCTAAGGCTATATCCTCAAGTGGGCACAGTGGGTGCCAGACCACCTGGTCCGATACCTATGAGCGCTGGCGGTGCTTGGCCTGGAGGTGAACTACCTGGCATTGCCTGCTGGAGAGGACCTAGAGCGTCCCCCAAGCCCCCCAGTGGAGATTCTTCCTTCGGGTCTGATTCAGGTTACAGCAATAACACATGTGGTACCTGTGGTACCAGGGCCTCATCTAAACATAGATTATCAGCGGAAATTCCGTTGTCATGAGGTGACATAGAGTGCCATAACTCAAGTGTTTACTTCTCGGCCTATCAAGATAGGTCTCGCCTTCTTCAATAATAGTGATACTACGATTCCTTAAATGGCTGCCAATGCACTGACTTGTTCCATAAGACCAGTTAGTCTTTCGATTGACGTAGTAAGGTCGTCATTTCCCACTTCCAGCTGAATTGCGAGGTACCTTCGTATGACCTATTAAATTCGGCTATAGGGGCTCAGATTGTTAGTCAGTGTGGGTGTGTCATATGTCTATGAATCTGTACAAAAGAGGTATTAGAAAACTTAAGTAGATTTCCTTTTTTAATTACGAGTGCTTTGTAAATTGTTTCCAAGTTAGTTATTTTTGTACAAATATGTAAGTTAGTTATAGTTTTGATCTTGTAAGTTATTTCGAGCTAGTCCTAAATTAATTGCAATGATAAAACTATTAAATTTTATTTAAATGGAAGCCGAAGGGTTATTGTAGATATTGTAAAAATAATTAAAGATAGATTAGTGAGTTGAATTTTATAATCATATCACAATTAAAATTACGTCGCATGGTCACGATTTCCTGTATATTTCCTATGATCTGTCAAGTAGGAATTTATATTACTGGTGCTAAAAGCATATTTGTAATTATTGTTTGATTTTGCCGTTCCAAAAGTTACTACAGTATCTATCTATATATCGTTGATTAGAAATACATTTTCTAAAGAGTCATCTCAGCAAATTAATTTCTTTATTAAGGTATTATAATTCAGTCCTATTTTAATATTTAATATCAATAACGCAAAATAGAAATATTTTTCGTTAACCGTGAAAGGGTCATACCGTAGACAAGTAGTTTTTTTTTCCAATGGGAATTTCGTTTTAATGTTGGCATTTGAAAACTAAAATTGTTTTATGTTGTTTAATTTTAATATAAGCGATATTTATTTTTATATTATGTTTGTTTCGCATTGTATAGTTTCGAATTTTCATGAATATTGTAATAAATTTCGGGTCTCGGAAACCCCCTTTATAAATATGGAGAGCACAATAAATGAAAAATAAATACATTTCTAATGAATTTTTTGCTTTTTATTTGTACCACCAGGTACTACATACTTTGTCATGGGTAATAAAGAAATAACTTATATTCGACTCGTTGATCAATTGTCTTTTTTGGTAAATGGGAGATCATCTTTTTGTGCCTGATGCACCCCAATTTTTGCCCCAATATAGGCTAGGCTTTTAAAGTCTCCGACGTACGAGTTAGCGATAGGTTTTTTTAATAGAAAAAACGGAGAGGAGGCTCACTTCATGTTAATGTATACCGCCGCCCATGGTCACTCAATTCTACGGAGGTCGCGAGTGTGTTGTCGGCCTTTTAAGAATTGGTACGCTCTTTTCTTGAAGAACCCTAAACCGAATTGATTCGGAAATGCTTCTGTGGGTTGGCTGGTTGCATATATTCTGGCTGGTTCTTTATTGTGACATATTTTAATTAAAGATTAGAAATAATTTAGGTTATATTTAATTATATACAAAAGTAATCACCAGCAATATTCAATGAAATCTTTTACATAACAAACAATCGTAATTAAAATAATTTCCACTTTTGTTTCAAGTGATCTAGATATGAACTAGATTCCTGCTCGGGGGACTCTTAAATATCCCATTATTCTTGGAACAAAGCCGTCATGTTGCAATTTATATGGAAAATTACTGGGGATTTAATAGCCTGTTTAATTTATTATAGAATTTAATCTTGATTATTTTATTTACTGTATTTTCCTTTTACCAGTGCCGTCCCGTAAACATGGAGCAAACAGAATTCTGTTAATATTCTTTAGATACATGCTCTGAGTTTTGTCTAAAACATTCTGGTTTATTAGTTGTACATGTAGAAAGAAAACTGTTTACTCTGCCGCAATGAATGTGTTGTATGGGGGAAATCGTTACGTTTATTCCATACATTTTTATAATATAGAAAATATCGCCTAGTTTTCGCTTGGTCAGTACATGATATGAATTGCATGCTTAATATTAGCTTTATTTACAATTATAAATTTTAACTTACATTTCGTTATAATGAAATCCGCATATAAATATAATATACCAACAATTTCTATCATGCGATTTTCCTTTTGTCAATATAGACGCTTGTGAATTGTATAGTAAATAGCGAGTCTAGTAAAGAGATAAGCGAAGTGCGTTTTTAATAATAACCCACCGCCTTGCCTTCTGCTGAGACAAATACAAATAGACTTGTTTCGTACAGTCAGCAAAAAAGCTAAGTTAAGTCGCAGACGTCTTTATTACCATCATTTCGGTGACATTGTTATTTGAGAGCTGGCTTTGTTTTTTGGTTCAATTATTTCATAGGTTTTCGCTATTAGATCAGAAACAATCTCAAAGACGGGTAGAGAATGCTTCGACATCAGTTGTCTTAGAACCTACAAACCTACCTATTTATTATTTTCGTTCACCAAATTGCCACAGTTCTTCAACCAAATCGCTCCACGGCCGCAGGAGGGATGCTTAAAAAACAAAAAAAATTACACATCGTATTGTCTTCTATTTTTTTATGTGATGGGGGGGGGGGGGCAAACGAGCCTAGAGGACGCCCAAAAGGGGAAGTTATCGCAGCCCATGGACACCGTTTCCCAGTTTAAAAGTCGTAAAAAAATCTCTATTAAACATATGAACAGATCCGACAACAGCTGACTCATTCAAAATATATATAAAAAAATTTTTTTTTTAGTATATAAGTGCACACTCACGAAACACTTAGAAAGAACACACAACAATACATGCATACATAAAAAGTGTGCACAACATTTAAAGGGAAACATTACAATTATAAAACAGAAAAGAAATAATACAATAAAAATAAACGACGACGAATATAATATGCAATTTAAAAATGGAATATTTCTTTTCTTTGCATTTTCGTTAATGGTGCCGGAACGATGGCTGCAACATCTTACATCAGAAGACATGGAGACTAATACAAGCGCGTGTCCCCAAAGCGCCAAATATATATATACCAACGATTCTTCTTCAATATAATATATTTTATTATTAAATATGAAAATTTAATTAGCGATTAAAAGCACCCCAGTGTTAATTTAAATAATTTTAAATGTACATATACATTTCCAAAATGGATTACAAGTAGGGTTGATACCGTTTCATGTCATTGCACTTTTATACCTGAATAATTAAAGATAAGAAATTATCGTTCATAAATTATAATTAATGTTAATTAATGCTTTATGATCATACAAATTGATAAACGTGTTTTATACAAATTGAAACATACGGAGTGAAATAAAGTAGTTGATTATTATTTACTAAAAAAGCATTCTTAATACTGTATGTTTGAATAAAACTTTAATGTTAGTACTCGTTAAAATTGTATACGATTATTTAAACAAACTTATAACGACCAGCTTAGCTTGGAAGCTTAGATATGATATTACTATAAAATATTTCCTTCAGACTAAGAACCTACTTTTTAAAATAAAAGGAAAGATACAAGCGTGATCCTATGTGACAAGCAGGTGCTTTCTGTCCGTAAATTATTAAAAAATATATTTAAATTGGAAAAGACACCTGTCTGAAGAAACAGCTAGAAATTTTTTTTAAGGTTAAAAAGTAAATTTTAATTAAAAGTTTTACAGATTTTGATATTTCTTTTAATTTAAATAACTTGAGTACGTACTTGCCTATTTTTTACAGCATCCGTAGTCAGCGAGTCAGGTAAATAATGAAGCGTAAACTAGAGACAATATACGTATACGTATAAAATATTCATTTGACAGCCCTAATTACAGGGTAACTCGTGCAAGTTTAATCCGAGTTATTGAAGTAATTGATTGCGGTACAAAATGGTTAAATGTGTTTATTAATTTGTCACTTAAATATCGACATGACACAATATGAACTATACCATATGTATGCGTAACGAGTTTAATATTGATGTGTGTAAAAAAGTACTTTTAAAACCAATTGTTTGAGCCCTGACTACATACTTTCCTTTGCAAACATGTCTTGGACCCAGAATCCGACGACGTCAAGCACCGAAAGCTCATCACTTGCTAGTAATTTGAGAGTGTGTACTAAAGAGTGTGATTCTGAACCTTTAAGCCGTTTCTATAAGCCCTGGATGCATACTTTCTTTTCGTATGCCAATACCCATACGGCGAGCAAACATATCTTGGTCCCAGAATTTGACGACCTCAAGCACAGAAAACTCATCCCCTGATAGTAATTTGAGAGTGTGTGACTCTGAACCTTTAAGCCGTTTATTAAAGCTGTGGGGTGCAAACTTTTCTTTCGTAAGCAAATGCATACGAAAAAAACAATCCCTGGACCCAAAATCAGCGATGTGAAACACAGAAGATCCTTGTCTTTACAGAAAAATAACCAATACAACAGTCGCGTGTCTGCTCCAGCACACAATACTATTCTTTTTAACATTCGCCGTACAAAATAAAACTACACATTTCTAAAACGAAAACAAACATTTTCTCCTATCGCTACATGTTCATAATTAATAAGGCTTTTTGCTATCTGTACAAATAAAAGCTTGCATCTCTTTCCCGGTAAGCTCAACAATACAGAGATAGAATCTCACTTATTACCTACAAATGTATAAGTGCTATGTGACTTACCGTTGCGAACATTGATATTGGTCACTAGATAGACTTTGGAATTGCGTTTACTCTTTCATTTGTACACCGTGTAGTGCTCTCTGGTTTTTTCCTCAAAATAATTTGATTCATTTTTATGACAGTGGGGTTTGAGTGCCTTTTCGCCTTCAACTTCTTCTCAGGACGGCCCACTCAAAGTTTAACAGCTGTATGCATTTTGTACCACCCTTTATTAGATTAAATTCTTTGTTAGGAAAATGTATTAAAACAGACAATTTTTTAATTAAATTTATATTCTAAAAGTTCTCCGATGTATAATTTTAACGTTTAATTAATTATACAAACCATATCCAGCAAATTTGTGTCTCTCCCGGCAAATATTAATAAGCCGCCTAAGGCAGTGTTGATTTATGCGCTTAGACTTGTGCAAATGAATACATTTTAACATACACACAAACATACCACGAGGACGGATTGTACGGAGACAGCCCACTTTGAGGCCCGGGATTTTTTTGAAAAACAAAATATAACACTATTGAGAAATGAACAAGTAAATAACCCAATTATTTCAACACGCTGCTTTTCTAATTAAAAATTAAAATAAAAGTGAATTTATTAAACACATAAACAATAATTAAACGTTTCGAGTAGTTACCTTATAGTTTAAATGTTACAAATACGGAAAAAATATATCAAAATAGGTATAACGCTGTCAATATACCTGTATGTATCTCCCAGCCCAAATATTTTTTATCCATGTCTGAAACCGACAACCGAAATAGCAATAGAATCTTTCTGTTGGTGGCCTTACAGTAGTGGGTACGTCTCTGTCCTTTGATACTCGAGTCATATCGCTAAACGAGGACGTTATTTATCGAGAGGACTGTACTGAAGATGAAAATGGATTATTATAACATGACAATTTTGTCTTGTCCTACACTAATAACTGGGGGTAGCACTATGTTTGGTTTGTGTCAAGAAAGATGTCGCAAACGACCTAATGCTATTTTTGCAGATGTCCACATGATATATAATATAAAAACTAGTTACTTAGTTCTATGTTAAGCTTAGGTAACGCTATCTATTATGATTATTATTATTAGAGCTTTATTAATGAATCCATACAATAATTGGTAAGTTAAATATTCTTAATATGACTATTAGTTGTAGTATAGTAAAAAAAAATAAGTTAGTTTTTTTGAGTTGTCTAATATTGTATGTCCCCTTTTAGGGTAAAACCCTCTTCCATATTTTTCAATTTCTCTTTTTCTTTCTCTGATTTTTCTCAATGCATTGTTCAGATCTAATTGTCTTGTTTTGAATGATAGGAATCTTACGTTGAAAGTGCATAATTTTAATTGTTGTGACGTACATCGCCTTTTTTTAGTTTATTATTGTCCTGTTCTTCCTTTTTCATATGTAATGGAGGGTGGTGGTCGCTTTCCCCACGGGGTCAGCCGGATAATTTTGAATGGTTTTACATACATCAGTGTCATGATTGACTTACTTGACTTAATGTCATATAACCCCTCCCCTAGGGGCAGATGGCGTCGCTCGCTCCAACTCTTTCCAGCTCTATTTGCCTCATCTGTTGACGCCAGCTTTGTTCGGGAGAGTGTCATGATAGACTGTGTGAAAAATTGTTTTAGCACAAAAGCCTACAGCTTGAATATTATGATACAAGTTCTTCACCGGAGACGCGTTACTCAAGAATTTAAACGGATTTTCATCCGGTTTAACCTGTCGTCTAGTATTAAATAATTTATATTGTGAGCCGCAATAAGAACCGTCTTGTTATAGAGCCAAGATTTTGCAGCACTTTCTAAATTGCACTTAGTTTATCCTGACGTCATACAAAACATGGTAATTGCAACTTCCCCATACCCTAACACGTCTAATCAACTGATGGGTGTCTGGAATCGAAAGAGTTTTTATGTTACCAATATCCAACCCCTATAGTTTCCCTTTAAATACACGATAAACGCCATTATATTTCAATCTCTAAGTATATATTTATAGAGTCGAATATTGTTTACGGTGTTCAGAAAGGCTATTAAGAAAATGGCTTCTATTTTCACACATAAACAAAGCTTTTGTTTTCTAAGCGTTTTAAATAAAATTGCTAGAAACGTCAGTTTAAGAAAATACACCTTTTATGGTTTGACTTATAGAAAGTTTAGTCTAAAGTGGGACATAAGATTGATGAACAAAGAACTGTCTAACTGCCTAATTCAGCATGCTAATCGTCAAAAATATAATTAGTAACATTATGTCGTTTATTTATTAAAAACACCTACTTTTAGTAACTGAAACTTTCAAATACACCAAGATATACCTCCAATCAAAATTTGACGGAAACGTTTAAAAATGTAATAATTGTTGCACCAGAAACCTTTACGCTTAAAATATATCATAAGAGAATTTATTATAACTAATTATATACTAAAAAAAATAATAGCTTATTGTACTTGATTAATACTTTAAAATAATTTTTAGAATTTATTTATTGTCATAGAATCATCTGTTGAAGCAAGTTTGACTTTTAAATTTCAGATCATACAGAGAAACCACAAACAAAATTATAATTTCTTACAGTTTCTTTGTTCGGTGAAAAAATGTAATTCAATTTAGGAATCTAAACCCACCAGCATCTCAACAGGGTCGTTTTAACAATGCTCATGGTGGCCCCCGGTAAGTCAAAAACCTATTTAGAAATTTATTATTGCTTATATTACTAGATATATTATTACGTGGTGTTTGACCGTGCCCTATTAGCACCCCGTGCCCTATAGCAGAAGAAACTTAATGCTATTTTTCACTATGACCTGGAATTGAATTCCCACGCGTCATGGTCTCCTTACATCGCTGGAATATTACGGTATACACTGCGCAGATTATCAGTGAGCTATACAAAAATGCAGGATGACTGCATATATTATTTTATACTACAAGCCTGTCGGACGGGAAAGCGGGCTGCTTGTGTAAGGGAATTAGTGCCGCAACCACCGCCACTAAGAGCTAAGTATGAACACTCATTGGAGACGAAACAGCTAAAAGTATTTAGGGGAATATTTTTGGCAATGTTGGCCTTCCGGGTAAATGTGGTATTAATAGCTTTAAATATATACGATGAAAGTAATTTCCTAAATTCTTCTATACTTTTGTATTGCATCGTAATTCATGAAACCGTGAGAGCTTTTCGCTTTTTAGTTTTTAGGTATTTTTTGTATTAAATAAATTATGGTTGGTAATTCTATATTTTTTTTATAAGATTTGGTTATGCAATTCTTGCACTTAACGCTTTATAATTATTTTTTTAGTTTTTTTCTTACTAGGGTTACCTGGAAGAGATCGCTTGTTAGTGAGTAGACCGTCCGTTGCATCCGTTAAAATTTTTATGTTATTTTGTTTTTCTTTAAATGTAACGAAGTGTAAATAAATTGAAAACTGTGGAGGAAGAATGTTTCCTTTTTTCCGACCTAGTGGTTGCAATAAGTTGCATATATTATGCTAGCGTTCCAAAACACTTGATATCTTCAGTTCCTTATAACTGCAATAAAACCGTTAAGAACCTTGTCCAAACAGTGTCATGAATTTATATCACATTTATTTGATTTAGTGGGTATTTCTCACAATTTAAATGCTACGAAAATAACGCTTTAAATATGAGCTCCAGTAAGCAAGATCCATAAGCAATGAGTCACCAGAGACAGGAACGGACCATAGTGAATAGAGCACAGAATAGATAAAAGTAAAAGTTATGACAAGCAATCGATTTTCGATACATGTTCATTTGTCCTAGATGAATTCTATTCGCACCCCCGAGCGTTTCTATGTTTTATTAACAAACAATCTATCTATATAATATATAATTCAATGTCAATATATTCTTGAATAACTTTTGTAAATAAACTATGAGTAAATACCTTTAATATTCCATACAAATTGTTTCCTGAACAAAGTTCGTGCTAATCGAAACATATTTTTATCTAAGCTATCATGAGACACCTGTTCGTAGTTTTATAATAATTTTGATAGTTCAAATTAAACTGGTAACTCAAACGCATGTCTGGCGTCATCGGACGCGACAGGCGACTATAATTCTTGGAGGACGCCGGAATGCAATTTATAAAAGACAAGTTTAACACAATTCAGCGGCTACATACGTGATATTAACTGCGATTAAAAATAACTGGGCGTTTATTCGTGAGTTTCGAAATTTAAGAGCTGTGTTGGCCGCGTGCGACTCTATCCCTGAGGTCGTAGGTTCGATTCCCGGCTGTGCACCAATGGACTTTCTTTCTATAATATGCGCATTTAACTAACAAACGGTGAAGGAGAAGATCGTGAGGAAACCGACATGTCTTCGACCCAAAAAGTCGACGGCACAGGAGGCTGATAGCCTACTTGCCTATTAGATTGAAAAATGATCATGAAACAGATTCAGACGCCTGAGGCCCAGACCTAAAGAGTTAAATTTGTACTATTAGGTGGAGCTCTGCGTGAAATTTTACTGTGTAATTAATTTTAATAAAAATTTTGAGTTGATAAATTATTACTTACTCACTTACTCCGATGGCTCTGCCCAAAACCTGACCCAAAAGATTGTCTTGGCCTTTAAAATGAGACTCTTACAGCGCTATGCTAACTCCCGCCAATTTCTAGCTTTCAGCTGCAGCAGGTTTTCCTTCACTCTTCTATTTAGCCATATTTTCGGACTCTTCAAGCTTCCAAATTATTACAATATCAAAGAAACTCTATAAATAAAATATTAAAAATCTTAATAAACTTCTTAAAACAATATAAATACGAATTAATTAAATTATTGAAATAACACGTCAGTTCGAATGCTTTTCTAAGTAACTGCTGTTACGGAATACAACTGATAACGTCGAGTTATGTAATTACTGAAGTGAATTCGCGTTTATATCCATTAAAAAATCATTATTTAAATATATTATTATGGTACTTGTATAAACTAAATAAATTTTACAATCCTAGTATACTGTACCAATCAAAAAAACGCAATCTTTCATTGTCTATACGGGACAATAGTTTAAGAACACAAATAAACTTGTTACAACCAAAGTGAATTCAAAATAAAATATGCGCAAAATGTAAATTTTAAAGGTAGAAAGAAGTTGTAAGCTCAAAAAATAAAATTGAAAAAATGTTGGCAGGTAATTGACAGTTTGTTAAATACAAAAGAAAATGCAGCGGGCAAAGTAAAAATGTAGGAGCTTTTGTATTGTAATGAGATGCGGCTTCATTCATTCAAGTCAAGAGATTTGTCTTGTATATTAGTAATCATTGTAGTTAAATACTATTGTATAATCACTAAATAGTATAAAACAAAGTCGCTTTCTCTGTCCCTATATCCCTATGTATGCTTAAATCTTGAAATCTACGCAACGGAAACGGTTTTATTAATAGATAGAGTGATTGAAAAGGAAGGTTTATATGTATAATAACATCCATTAAATAGTGGAGAAACACTGTTATTTTTGAGGTTTCTAATGTGATGTCGTAAATAATTACATTTTTTCCGCTTACATTGCAAACGCAGGCTGAACCCTACAAGATTTATTAAAATAATGTACTAAGTATTGTACACATTATAAAGGTCTACATGAAACTCCGCGATAGTATATGTCTATCTCTTATGGATATCCCATAATAACATTTTTTTGTTATTTACTCTTTACGACAAATAATGGCTAATTTTCGAAGCGATTTTAACCAATACGAATACAGCATTAATCCTTATCCAATTATTCTTATTTATTGTATTAATGTTACCTTAATGAAATCCTTAATTAAGTTTAAGTAAAGTTAACACGATATTATTAGACTGTTAGGCAGAACGAAGTTAGCCGGTTCAGTTAGTGAGTAATAAAATTAATAAATTTTACTGTAAAAGTATCTAATAAAAAGATCTATGTGTTTGCCCAACAATATAACTATTAAAGGTACACTGCCACAGGGACCAAGCTTTTTAAATTAATTTTAGTTATTTTTATTATTACAGTAAATTACAGGTTTAGAAAATTGTAAATATTGTTTATTTGATTGTTATGATTACAGTCTTATATTGTAGTAAGATTTGGTTATATCTTAACAAAACTGATGGATATATATCTAAATATTATTGCTAATTTATCTATTAAATTAAAAAGCTTTAAAAGTTTAATTAAATTGCGAGTAGTCTAAAATTCCTATTACCGAGTTAAGAATAGCTCCCCTTGATTGAGGATTTCTCGTTTTAATTTTAGCTAAACGTTTACGATGTTTGTCACCTCCTTTGTGAACAAGCGCCACGATACGTTTCGTTTCATACCTTTGATACTATTTCCGTACCTATACTTAAAAGCCCCTAAAATCCAAACTAAAGAACTATATTCAATTTTGCGATGTCATAATTTTCAGACAGTGCGAACGCTTGTCAGCTCTGCGATACAGGTGTACCCATAAGGTTGTTTATTTATCTTTTTAAATACCTCTTGTTGAATGTACTAAAATTAGTTTTAAACTGTGACACCCAAAATGTATTTTTGTTATGAATTAATGAGGATTTGATTTGATAATCCATTATATAACTTACGTTTTATTTAGTGAAAGATCT